CGCGTGTATGGGGAGGGACGCGGATAACTTAGCATAGCAATTTCCAATAAGTCGTAGAAATTTTAGCAAAATAGCTTGAAAATCGTGAATTGTAAGTTGAACGTAAAAGTATATGAACAGACAATCAAATTGGACAAATAAGCGTAAGCTGAGGCAGGAAATAAATCTGAATCGATTAGAATAATGAAAAATGCTTCTATATGAAGCTCGATTAAGTGCGGCATAAGACATTCGCATACATTCATCGCCTGAGGTACTGCACGAAATGAAACCTTATAGAATATTTTTGTCAAGGAGATATTTTCCATTATGCAGTTATGCAATTTACTGTTAATTAAATATTCTTATACACCTGACCAATAGTTTGTACAATTTTCCCAACCAACTATCAAATGCGTCTGTCTGTAATTAATAGTTCAGCCAGACATGTGATAAGCCGATTATATGTGTACGGATAATAAAAGTGTCTCTTGCTTGTATTGATTTCTTAAAACGATTTACTCCCAACGAGATAATTGTAACTCAATTTTTTATATTGAATTTCCTCTATTTTTGTTTTTTTGTTTTTGTTTTTTTCTTTTTTTTTGGAATTAATTACAATTTTAAATGAATTACGCCTACGTTTGCAAACATTTTCCTAAATCTCTAACAACTTTCACATGAAAAAATCATCATTTATAACTGAAAGTAAGGTAAAAAAAAAAAGACAACAAAAATAAAAAGCCAAAAGAAAAACGAAAAATGAAAAAACTAACAAACATCAATAAGACAACATCAAACCACAACAATAACGACAACAATCGTAAAACGTAAACACGGGAGCTTTTATTGTTTCTACTTAACAGCAAAAAAAAAAAAAAAAGGAATAAATAAATAAATAAATAAGAAAAAAATAAAAATTGAATTTATAACCAACGTAAACATAATACCTTCATATGCATTCATAAACGCGCGTACATGTTTATCTATAAAAACTTTAAACCGCAACTAATACTGTAACTGTAGATGCTGCAAAGCATTAAACTATAAATGTGTTGTATATGAGCGAGTATAAGTGTTTATATGAATCGATATTAAGCCCACGCAGACCACTCATTTTACGCTCGCCCATAAATAAACTCAATTTTGCAATGAACTCAAGTAAATCAACGTAATACAACGGTATCACAGCATCACAACAGTAAGCATATATATATATATATAGATACATATATGTTTATGTGTAGTGGTAGGTAACAACAGCACTAGCACTTTAGCGTACATAGCACAAGCAGAACACTATCAGCAGCAGCAACCGCAGTTGTAGCAGCAAACACTATATCACCACTATATCGCAGAAACGCAATAAATCTCTTAAGCGTGGGCTAGTCAACGTGCGCCAAACGTCAACGATTTGTTTTCTTTTCATTTGTTTTATAGTAAAGCAGCAAAAGTGCACATATATATATATATGTATGTATATATATATATATATGTATGTATATATATATATATATATGTATTCTCCTTTGTATTCACATACACGCACTCACACAAACTTACGAAGAATATATTTACGGTTTATTATATTTTCCGTGTTTTTATTATTTATTTATTTATTTTTTTTTTTGATTTTTGCATCTCTCTCATCGAAATGGTTAATTTAGTTAATTTAGTTTTTAATTTTTTTTCTATGAAAATGAAAATTCAAACATTTCCTTATTGATGTTAATTGCACGAAATAGATATTTGCCCAAAAATTGGTTTTGATAATCTTTCCTTCATTCACAATTAAACAAATGAACGAAAGCGGTAGAAACGAAAATGAAAACAAAAAGTGTATGCTATTGATTTTCAGTTACGCATCTGGAATCCTTTCACATTTATTGCAGATTAATAGATTTCTTTAACAAATTAAGACATTATTGCTGCTTAATCGGCATAAGCGATTCAGCTTTCGAAGATGAATACATTTTTACTACAAAGCGAAAACTGAAGACTGTAAAAATGTGGCAATTTTCGTAAAGAAGATTTCCAGTCGAGCGTCCAAGCTAATCTATACATAAACAATAATAGAGAAGTGTACCTTGTCGGATACGGCGAACTCCAAAATCCGGGATGCCGGAAGGATTTAGGTACATTTTTAACTATGAAGCAATCTTTCCCGTTATCGTGAATGTATCGAAGTGTTCGTAAGCATTTCTATTACCATTAAATTCGAGTTATGTTCGCTGTAATGTAGGCGGAAGAAACTACATGAGAGAACATGAGGAAAAGCGGCGCCATACACGATGTTGCAAGATTTTAGATATATATTTGCAACGAAACAATCTGTCTCGACAAGAGAAGAGTCGTTAGTTGGAGTAGATCGCAGTATTCGTATGAAAACCTTTTTTTTCAGTGAGTTAAACTTCGTGCATCGGTCCCGTCAAAAATTAATAAAAGAGCATTTCACGGCTCGACGATGTAGGTGGATGGATAAATCGGACAATTGGCGAGAAGAAGAAGCTCATCCATGCTAAGGGAAATAAATATTCAATGAACACATTCCTACCATGAAGCGATCTTCTTTGACAAGAAGAAAGCCACTACTGTGAATACCTCGGAATATTCGAACAAACTATTACTGACTTCAGTTCATCAGAGTTCAAAAATGAGTATTTTGAGGTTTGCCAAATGTATATATTTGCTCGATGATTTTGGAATAGCGAAAAGCCTTCGTGAAGATCCTTTCATTTGCATGTTTGTTTATCACAGAACCTCTAAGTTCGCTTTGCATAGATGTGTCGAGAATGAAACGAAGTTTTTCTGCCATACCACCTATGCGTCAGTTAGGTTATTCCAAGATTTCCTATACCGCTGAGATGTTTCAGCAGCTGTGTGGCGGTGACCTTATTTATACTCTAATCAGTAAAGGGATTTTAGGTCAACAAGCCGAGGTAAAGGAATGAAACGATAATAAAAGTAACTTCCTACTGGCATTTTGTACTCCACTGTATACTGTAAGCTACCTAACGCTCTGGAAATAATTCAGATTTATTGAACTCTTTGACATCTGATTGATGTTTATTTTATTTCCCATTTTTTATTTCAAAGTTATTTCAATCAACAAGAAATTTTTGTTATTGGTTTACATTCTATATGAAAGTGAATGCATGCTTGGCATCTTTTCTCTTTTGCTGTCAATACAGTTATACAGAAGCGAAGCTGGGCTAACTGTTAACTGTTAACTTAAGTCTGGGATTCGCTTCTCTATCTGATTGTAAATACGTTTAGGTGTTTTTACCATAAATTAACTTAAGCGCAAGATTTCCTTAAGTAGCGAAATGCACGCGATGTTCAACGAAATCTTAAGAAAATAAATTTTAACATTTTTGTCTGTTGCATAATGATGTTTATCCGGGATCCAAAAAAAAAAAAAAAAAAACAAGAAGAAGAAGAATATTATACTCGACTATGATCGAATTTTTTATACTCATCACTGCTATTTTAAAACAAAAAAAAAGAAAACTACATTCTCATATTCTATAATATTGGGTAGGCGTGTGTGATTCTTCCTGCTTTTGAAGAATCAAAGCGCTAATTTATGTAGCGCTGCTGAAGCAGGTATCTTCCTTTTTGCGAGCTCCGGTACGTTGACGATAGCAATTAACCAACTGATGGACGGACGAACTGACAAACATATCTACAAAAGTTCAATTTTAACACTAATCAAGAGTGGAGTCTGTAGCGTTTCTGAAGCTTCGTTCTTGGTGCTGCAAACTAATTTGACAAAAAACAGAAATTTCATTTTTCCGTAATGTTGACAAGGCGTGGCTGATTTTTTCATTTTCCTAAACGGGCTGTAGAACTACGCATGGAATATACGTGCATCCGTTATAGTCGGTAAATAACGAGCAAAAAAACAATTCTTTTTTATATTTGAAAGCAAAGGTGGTTTCGGCTTGTACTATATTATGAGCTTGTCCTTGGACCGATTTAGCCCAAATTCTACACTAAGCTGCGTGTAAGAAATTCCAATGTTTATACCAAATTTGAAGCAGATAAGTTCCTTTTCGCAACTAGGAGACATACGGACAGGGAGACAGGGTTAAATCGGTTTAAAATTTAATGTTGATCAAGAACATGTATATTTTATAGAGTCTCCGAAGCTTCCTTGTAGGCACTGCAACTGTTTTAGCAAAATGAGTACACTTCCCGTCGGTGGTGATCACAGCAGCATAAAATTCTTCTTTCCTTCTAGTTACTTAGGCTATGTGGCTTGTCAATGTTTATCTCTCTATGATCCTCTTCCTTTCTGCTATTCTGCCTTCGCTGCCGCGAAGTGTCACTCAAAAGCCTTTGATCGACTAGATGCAACAATCAGTATCAATATGTACAAGAAAGTCTAAAATTAATCTTAGGAAAAAAGTTAGGCACGACTTATGAATGAATTCTGCACTTAAATTTTTATTAGTACCACCTAGAGGTTTCGGGCATACTCAATTTGTCGGGAATACACATTTGTAAAAAGCGGCAGGAAACTTTCGGAACTCTATAAAAACAGTATATATGTCCTTGATCAGTACTAAATTTTAATTTGATCACAGTCTTCCTGTCCGTCCGTTTATGACAAAGAATGTCTAGATCGCGAATATTAAGTATACGCCTTCAAATTTAGCTAAGACATTGGAACATTGGACATTTTTATATAGAGATTGGTCTAGAAAAAAAGCCAAATCAGTGAAAGGACACGCCTACAGTGCACCATATCCTAAAAATAATTCTGCTTTTGAAAGCAAAAGTGATGGGGCTTCGCCTAAAAACTACAAAAGGAACAGTGATGAAAGTTTTCCCGCATATTTTTCGAATGATCTTGACCAGTGTGAAAATATCGAGTCCGGCCAACGTTACAGAATATCGAAAACTCACGGATTCCCTTTATTTTAAATGTTTTCAAGACGAAGGTGATGGGTATAAAATAATCAGCCAAAGCGTAAGATAATCTTCTTATTTACTGCCTTTACTACGAAATCACTTACCTTATTTCCTTAGTAAAATACACTGAAATTAGATAAACATAATGCAAGTTAGTAACGAAGATATGTGATAAAACTACTTAATATTAACAAGAACGAGAGCGTGTTGTTGACCTCGCAAATTGAATTCGATTTTATTTTTCTTTCTCTTCCAAATGCCTAACAACTCGAAAACAATATTTTCTCTGGTCAAGTATAAATTTTTGATACGTCACTTTACTGGCGAATAGATCTAAGATATGATATGCATCGTATATTATGTCGTGTGCCCCATATCGCATATTATATCCCATTCATCCCGCTACTCTTATAATTTAAAAATTGCATTGGTATTCTGATTACTCGATTCACCCAATTTTATGATGTAATCCAATAAAAATTATACGGAATAACGAAGAACAAATAAAGGTTTAAGGTGATCATTTTGATTTCGGAAGGTAAAGAGCAGAAGACAAAGAAGACTAAGAATGTCAGATGCCCAATAAACTACTATACTGAAATTCGGAAGCTTTGAATGTTACAACAACTGTATTGGCGTCTACAATGGAATTTGATTTGTAAATTAAATCCGGTGAATATTTCAAAAAATAATCAAACCTACTAAAGAACGTTACGTTCCTTTTGCCACAGTCACAGATTTAAATACTAAAGAAAATCTTTTGCTTTCATACCAATTTTTGTGTTTCCATTTAATATTCTTTACAGTTCTTCATCTTCACACTTATTCGACTATCTTAGAAGTTGTTCATCTTTAACCTCAAGACCGAAAATTTTGTATTATTTAAATCAAATCCTTCGGATTGCCTTAACTGGGCTCTCGCTCTTATGTTTTGCACAAGTTTCCAATTAAAAAAATGCTTCAACCCTAAGTAAGAAAGTTATTCAAGTTGAGATGCAACTCTCTTCAGGAAGGTATTTCGTTAACATTTCTGTTCGCAGAAAACTTCTTTTATTAAATTTTATACCTATATAGTAACTTTTTGTCTACTATGGGCAGGTAATTAATCTCTTAGTTATCAATTACGGAGATTTACGCCAAAGTTCAGTTTCTACCGTAATTTAAATAACTATGACCATCTTAATAGAGGACAGACGGACGGATGGATTGATTAACGAACCGATATATTGAAATGTCGGTGGACATATGCGCCGATATTGGAACAGGGAGAGGACCCAAGGACAGACGTGTCTAGGGTTTAACATTAACAACTGCATTGAAAATGTTTCATTTTGTATTATCCGATAGTATACGAAGGTAAGGACGTTTGCGTTCGCCTAGGAGGGTCAATTACTCTTGGAATATTAAGACATTTCAGCCATTTTAGGAAAAGTGTGGCCTACCTATCATCTCAACGAATGCTGCTGTTGCAACTTTGTGATAACCACGAGTACGAGTACGAAACTCCGCGAAACATTCTTAACGCCTATTAGAAAAAAGTTGAACCCATTGGTAGCCGTGTTGCCTTCCTCTCTTTCGCAAAACCCAAGAGAATAGTTTAGGCGGCATAAAGCCCTTGATTTTGCGTTTTCTATACAATTCTGAAACAAAGTTGAGAGTTGGGCCAACGGACATTTGAGTGGGCGGAAAGAAATAATCGGGAACGGAAGGACGATAACGATCGAGGAACATACCAAAGGCGTCAAATCGACCAGGAGTTTTTCTTTAACAATGTAAACCTTCTTCTCCTGAGAATTTTTCTTAGTAAAGTTTTATAAGCATTATGACGATGTAATTATCGTTTCTCGCATCTTTTAAAAATTTTCATTCATGTCCATAAGGTAAGCATTGCGAGCAAATAGAAAATCCGACTTTAATTTTAGTCCCTGTCTGTTAGAGGTCCAGTTACGGGAGATCAATGTACTAATAATTCGAAATTTCTACTAATGCGTACGCACGGAGACGATCTGACTGATTGTTCTGCGTTTATTCGGTACGCAAATAAATGGGTTTGCATTAATTCTGGGCCACGTAAATTTATCACACTCTGTTGGCGGTTATAAGAATTTTTATTTATTTTTTTAAATCCAGAATTTAACCTCAATTAATCTCATGCTCTTGGATTACTTTAGCGCCCTTTCCTTTATGGCATTTCACAGGAAACCTTTCAAGCTGTTATCTCAGAAATTCTTAATAAATTAAGCAGCCAATGAACACATTCACACAAACATACACATATATAACCATGAACACCCAAACGATGCAACAGAATTGGGTTAAATCTAATTTCAAGTATATGTCGCTATTGTTGTTGTAGTGAGATGGTGGTGGACCTCTTTAAATAAATGTCTTGCAACGGTGACAAAGTACATGGACAAGCAAACGAACTACACAGAAATACTGTCACTACATCTGTGTTGTGTGTTGCGAAAGAACAGTAAATTGAGGACAGAATAAATAAAAGAGATAGAGAGAGAGAGAGAGCGAGAGAGAGAGAGAAAAGAAAGAAAGAATGAAGACCGAAAACAAATGCGTCATATTCACAATTAAAGCAAATACAATACAGGCTTGTCTCCAGATGCATTTGTTGCTCTTGTTGAACACATCTAACAAGAAGAACATTTATGTGTATGTATGTATGTATCTACGTATGTATGCATGTATGCAGTTGCCGTGGGCTTCCTCAATTTGTCATTCCACCGCCACCATAACCACTATCGCCACTTTTGTCTTTGCCAGTAATAACGAGAGCACATGAATTCATAGAAGAGTAGAAAAGCAGGCAGACAACTAAAGTTAATAAATGATAATAGCATACGGTTGTGGTCGGCTGGTTTGTGTGTCTGTGTGCTTGTGTTTGTGTTTGTGTTTGTGTGTGCGTATGGTGCGGGGAAGGAACCGGTGAGGGAGTGATTGGGGTGAGTGAGGAGGGGGGGAGGGGGGTTTAGTAGTTATATCGGGTAATGAAGTAAGCTGATATATGCCGCTTTTCCAATTGCTGCTGCAATTGCCAACAAACGACATCGTAACATTGATTACCGACATTTCGTTTAGCTCATTGTCACAGAGGTCAATTTCCTACAGCATCTATATATAAATAAGAAGAAAAAAAGATTTTTTTTCTTCTTCTTTTTTGTTGCTGTTGTATTTGAGTTGTGTTTTATTTATTCTTTTGCTTTTTTTATTTTGCTCTTTTCAAAATAAAACACAAAAAAAGGAAAAAGCAAAGAATTAGGTTTATGTTATTCTCCGCAGGCTTCATCATCATTAAAAACTGAATGTGGGTTTGGCGCGATTCAGTTTTTGTATGTATTGGCGCCTCGGTCTCGTCCGTCTGCCATTTTCTGTTACGGTGGCTAACTGTGTACATCATCTGTTGTCGTTTCTAATATATTTCTATTGAAAATTACACACAACAACAGCGTAGAGGGTAAGGAATGAAACGACAGCTCTATAGAATTCATTCTATTGGTTCCTTCTGTGTGATTTATTTTAGCTTCTGATGATAGTTGTTCTCGTTGCTGTTTTTACACTATACGTAATGCTATTATTGTGTCTGTACGCCTGCATGTTTGTATGTATGAAATTGAATATATATATATATGTATATATATGTATATGTATGTGTGTATGTGTTAGTCTAACAACGGTTATTGGCTTCAATCATTGCGTTAGACAATTAGCAACTTGTTAAGTACTTTATTTTCTGCAGCGACAAAAGCAAAAACAATTCGCGCCAATAATAACAATAGCAACAACAAAAACAAGAACAATCATCAATAATCATCAATAGAAGCGATTGCAAAAGTTAAGTTTCATCATCGCAAGCGAAAACCATGGCATTCTCTTGCCTGCATTGAGCACAATTTCGAAACATTTGTTTGACCTTGACTGTCTATTTATTTTTCCTTTTCTTTGGTTTTTATTTGGCTTTAATTTTTTGGCTTTATTTTATAATCAAAGTTTTTAATAAATAAGTTTTATTATGATTTAAATTTTTACTGATAGTAAACTTCAATCAATGCAATGTCATCGTGTTAGTATTTTTATTTCGGTCGATTCGTTTCTTGTTGAAACTAAAGTTGAAAAGTTTCCAAACGCAAATGCACTCTGATTGCGCGAATTGTTCGACAAATTCAAAGCATTTCGGGTTGCATACCAAAACGTATTTGACTTGGTCTTTTACACTTTTAAATAAAGGCAACCGAATGTATTGCAATTACACCAAGCTCTCGAATTACGTCCCGTTCTTTCATATCCGCGTTTTATTTAAAGTCCCGTTATAAGGATGGCAAGATGTAATCTCTTCTCTTACTTGCAATTTACAAATATTTAGCAGGAATCTAGTATATATTGGTCATCACTATAACTATATGAGTCGATATGTTCGTCAGCCTGTCTGCGACTTTTTCAATAATTTCTTTACCTGTTTCTCCGCCCGTTTGTCTACGTATCTAGGGTTTCTCTCACCCCCTAACAGCGTCTCATATTTGCTTGCCCTTCTGCCTCTTCTCTTTCGCCGATTCTCTGTCTCTCCATTCCAATATCTATCATTTTTGTTGGTCCGTCCCTTTGTGGATGTTTGTCTGCTCTTCTGCCTGGTGGTTGTCATTTGTCCTCCCCTATCTGTCTGTCCTTCTTTCTGCCCTTTGCTTGCGTGCTCATCTGTCTACTATTTGTCTGTTCTTTCATCTCCCTGTCTGCCCTGGCCCTTCTTTCCTTATCTGCAATTTGTCCGTTCATTTGAAAGTCGTCTGTTTGTACTCTTCTCCATGTCTTTGCCATGGCTATATCGCTGTACATCGTTTGTCTCTTTCTCTATATATCGGTCCCTTGTCCCTTGTCTACCTCTTCGCAAGTCTGTCTACCAGTCATTTGTCTTTGCTTCTGCCTACCTATCTGTAACTCTGTCTAACGTTAGTTATTGGCACGATCATAATTGAAAAAATGAAAGATTTCGAAAGCGAGCGTATCCGACCCCGAACAACGCCCACCATTACAGTCCATGACCGATCGTATGCAGTGAAAAAGTGGACATACTCAAAGAAGAGAAGAAAAGCAAAACCTTTTTATCCTATATATATATA